GAGGGGGGTCTTTTGATTATTACATTTTCTAATTTAGTGTCTTTCACTTACAGGGTATTAAAAAGCCATAACATTGTTCTCCAAATTGGCCTTAATAGAACATTATTGGATTAGAAGATGGGGATTGGGGATTTTCTTTTCCTCCGCTGGTGCTGATTATTAGAGAGTGTCGAACGAAATTATCCAGCAGAAAGGGATGTATTCAGAACTGTTCCCATTGCCAGCCCAAATCAGCCCATGGCTCCAAAGGCCTTACCAGAGTGGAGCTGCCCAGGCAATTAGGTGGGAGGAAGCAGAGAAAAGGCAAATAGAAAGGAAAATTCTGAGGACTAACATAATCATGGACTCAGCTCTTATTGGCCAAGAAAAACCCGTCCTCTCTGCACCCGGGGCCCCCTGCAGTGCTGGAAAGAGCCTCTTTGTCCGAATCTTCCAGCTGCCCCATCCGCCGCTTCCCCTGCGGCCTCTCACCCTGTCAGCTCTTTGGGGCAGGGCTGGTGTCTTTGTCCGAGCACAACGGGGCCACTGCTATTCCGGCCCCATCAGCACAGCATGCGAGCACCTCGCAGCCATTTACCGGGCGCCCTCCCTCGGGCCGGCGCGATCCCCGTTGCACAGAAAGGAAGCTGAGGCACCCACTGGCCAAAGGTCACACAGGGAGTCTATGGCGGAGCTGGGAAATGAATCCAGATCTCCTGCGCCCCAGCCCGGTGCTGTAACCACCCATCATCCCCGCCAAGAGATAAATAAGACAGCTCCTCTTCCCATGCAAAGCGCTGGTCAATATCGTGCTTAAAACCAGGGGTCGGAAGCAGGGCTAGATGGCAGCTATGAACAAGCGACAGTGACAAGGGAAGAGGCTAAGGGGAGAAGCAGATGTCGGAGCCCTTTGCTGTGACTCCACATGCCGAGCACTGAGCCCACTTTGCAACCCGGGCGGTCTCACACTGCCAGGGAATCAGGCCAGGACTTTGCTCCTCCACTGGCAGAAAGAGGCTGGGTAGGATTCACTTCCCCTTTGGTCCAGTGGCTCTGGAGCAAGGGTGGGGCGTGGGAACCAGGCTGCAAGTCTGCATGGGTCTGAGCAGCCTCCCTTAAAGCTGGCTCTGGCCTGGCACGTGGGTCTCGTCTGGTGAGTGGGGACACTGCAGGGCCATACATCCAGTCCCACTGGCGCAAAAGGAAGCAAGTCAGCCCCCCTCCTGCTCTGTGAATACCGTGCGGTCCCCGCGGGAGCCAGCCCCAGCCTAGCAGGTGTCCCTCAGTTACTGCTGCTAGCAGCAATGCTAGGGACTGATCACTGGCAATCCAGAGCATTCCCCCTTCCCTCAGGACCCGGGAAAGTCTGGGCTGGGAACCAACCGGAGCTCGTTACAGTCACTAACGAAGAGCCTGGCGTGGCCACACTGCAATCAATGGGGTTACACCAGGGATGGATTTGGCCCTTGCGTTGGGATCCCGAGAGGTGCTGAGCTTTGGCTACAGAGGGAATTGCTGGCACTCAGGACTGTGGCTCAGGCCAGCAGCTGGGGAATCAGGCAGATCCTTGGTCATTGCTCTGTTTATTGGAGTGGGGAAGGGCGGACGCCCAAGGGCGCTTTGCTCCTTGAGTCTCATCTCCGTGGGTCCCATCCCCAAGGCACATATGTCACGGAGTCCCCGGGCGATGCTCTGGACTTTGGGGAGCCTCCTCTCCCTTGGAGCAGATTGTCTTCAGGGCAAGAAGCTCACATGGCTTCACCTCCTGGGTCTCTCCTGGGAGCATTCAGCATATGCCCCTCCGTGCGCTTCCCACAGCGAGTCCACCCAGGCGGGGTCCTGGGGAAGCCAGAGGGTCCTGCACCCCCACTTTGCAGTCAGACGTGACTCTCAGCCAGCCAGTAAAACAGAGGTTTATTAGATGACAGGAACACGGTCTAAAACAGAGCTTGTAGGTACAGCGAACAGGACCTGCCAGCCGGGTCCATTTTGGGGGGCAGTGAGCCAGACAACCCCGTCTGCACTCAGTTCTCGTCCCCAGCCAGCTCCAAACTGAAACCCCCTCCAGCCCCTCCTTTCTGGCCTTGTCCCTTTCCCAGGCCAGTAGGTCACCTGATCTCTTTGTTCACCTTTAGCATCCCCTTGCAAGAGGAGAAGGGCCCTGGCCATTTGTTGCTAGGAGACATTAAGAACAGTCCCACTTCATCCCAACATGCAGTAGGGATATTGAGTTGCGCTGCTGGGACTGGGGCAGGATCCCAGGGCCTGGTTCCCCCTCACACTGGGGTGGGCCGGATGGATTCTGCTGAGTTAATGGAGTGATACTGGTGTGAAGGTCCCGAGCCTGCCCCCTGTCCAAACCTTCCCCACTGTGACGGCTGCACTCCCTGAGCCAAGGCGGTTCTGCAGAGTTCTGATAAGAGGGTCCGGGTATCACAGGAAAGGGCTCCCCAGCTGGGCCAGGGAGCTGAAAAACGGGCACTTTCAGGGAAACCCAGTTCTCTCCAGATCCTCAGGTGAGCCGGGCGGCCCAAGCGGCTTGGGGGATCACCCACACGTCTGGATGGCTGTGCGAGCCACGTGCCAAGCACTCGGCCGTTCCTCCTGGCTCGTGACCTCCCAAAGCGGGGCTCACGAACTCAGGGCTCTAGTGAGGGGCTGGATGCAGGATTTACTTGGTGAAATTCTCTGGCCTGTGCTAAGCAGGAGGTCAGACTAGGCAGTCCCTTCTGGCCTTCAAATCGGTGAAGCGAAGGCGTGCCTGGGGGTGGGTTGGTCCGGGAGTTTTTTGCAGAATCTGGGGCATTTCAGGCCCTGCCTGGGGGCAGACACCACCAGGTGCTGACAGGTCTTCAGAGGTGGTGGTTGAATCGGGGGGCCTCTGGTGAGCTGCCTCACCGACTCTGAGCCACCGCTCCCACGAACTCCAGCAGCAGCCGGTGCGCTTAGCTCTGCCGAGAGCCAGCTGGGATCCGAAATGGAGACAGCCAGACTCCGAGGCCACTTTGGAATATGCTGATGCTACAGTGGCCCAGAGGGCCCAGGAGTCAGAGCATCCCCCCACCCCCCGAGGAAGCACAGAGACCCCTGCTGCAGCCGGTGGCGGTCTGCTCAGCTCCCTTGGGTGATTCATGCTGAGAGCAGAGTGAATGTGCCTTTTCCTTGTAATTACTGGAGAGGGAGAGGACCCCCCCCCCGCCCCGCCTTTCCCTTCCTGTTAAACTCACTGGAAGCAGCAGCAGCTCATGGGCCAAGATGGCTGTTAATTAAAGTGCTGGCGCCTTCTTCTCGGCAAAGTTGGAAGCTGTTATTTTCCACTCCAGCGAAGCGTGGAGAATCCATCTGGGGCTGACAGCGATGGCACTTGGGTGGTGAAGGGAGCACCCATGACGGGGGGGGGGGGATTTGAGGACAGATCTCCCTGCTAATAGGGGCGCCCTGGCACAGGTGGCTCTGGGCTGCAGGGAGTCACGGTGGGGAAGTTTGGGATTCCCACCAGGCCCCTCCCTGGGTGCAGCGATGCCTGAAGGGTGGGTGCTGCCCCAGGCCCAAAGCCAGGGGATCTCACCCGAAGAGGTGGGTGGGAGAAAGGCCCAGGAAAGCAGCAGCCCCCTCACCTGAACCCCATTCCAGCTCCAGGCCCCATAGGGCCTAGCCCGGAGCCCAGGTAGCCGCACAGCCATGGAGCTGGGCTGGGGAAAGAGGCCAAGGCCCAGGGAAACCCGGCAGCTTCTTCTCCTTGCCATGCCCCAGAGCGACACCTCCCTGGCCCCCTTGACCTGGCCCTGGCCGGCCCGAGCCGGGGCGCTGGAGATGAACTAGCCCCTGGGGCAGGGCTCGGGCTGGGCGCCGGGGGGAGACAGAAACCCACAAATGTCCCGATGGCAGGAGACGCAACTCGCTTTGCAGCCGAAACACTTTAATGCAGCAGCAGCGACCGCGAGCCCGGGCCAAGGGAAACAGCGGCGGGCCGGGCCAGGCGGAGCAGCGACCCCGGCGGGCTGCCCCGGCCCCCTCGCCCCCCAGTGCCCGACAGGCTCCAGCCGGAGCCGGAGCCACAATAAACCCGGCCCGGGGGGAGGGGCTGGAGCTGGCAGCCAGGTCTGGGGAGAGAGAAACTGAGGCACTGGTGAGCCGGGCCTGCAGGAGCCTGTCTTGCACTAGTAATAATGAGCGGTGGGTCCCCACCCGAAGTCTCTCACTCCCCGCCCCCAGAAGTGAGACACCCCAGCCCGTCTCCACCCCTAGGAGCTGTGGGCTGGGCGGGCAGGGAAGGGCCATGGGCCGGAAGAGTGACTCGGCCGCGGGACGCGCAGCCCCGGGCTAGCGGCGCTGACTTTGGGTCGGGAGCGCGGCTGCTCTGCCCGCGTCCTGCCAGCGGGGCTGCCTGGTGACTCCCCGGGGGTCGGCGGCCCTGGGACCGGAGCGCCGGGAGCTGAACCTGCGGCTCGTTCCTTCGCTGGGCTCCCACGAGAGCGAAAAGACAGAAACACCCACGGGGACGGCCCCGCGCCTGCCGGGTGATTTGTAAACAGCAGCAGCCGTGTCCCCCCCCCCCAGACAGCAGCTCCCAGGAGATCCAGACCCCCCCCGCCCAGACAGCGGCCCCCAGGAGATCCGGACCCCGCCAGACAGCGGCCCCCAGGAGATCCGGACCCCTGTCCCCAGTCCCAGGGACACACGGAGCTCCCTGGACAGACCCCGAGCAGCTCACAAAGCAGCGAAGGTGACTTCTCCGCGGCCAACTTTCCGGCTGAGGGGGAGGGGGGCAGGGCCAGTCAATCCCGCTCTGGCTCCCCCCCCGCGGACAGGTATCGGCAGGAACCGCTAGTGCCGAAAATCCAAGCGCGCTAATCACGGCGCGATCAATCCGCCGCCCATCGATTAGCCGCTCGCTGCCCCGCGCCCCCAGCCCGCCCCGCCGCTGTTTGCATGAGCCGAGCGCCTCTCCCCGCTGCGCTCCGGGGGGGGGATCAATGGGCAGGGACCAGCCTCCCGCAGCTCCAGCGCGCAGACAGCCGGCGAGCGGAGACCAGCAGCCGGCGTCTCCGCCTTTGCTCCTTTCCCGGCCCGGGCTGGGGGCACCGCGCCGCGGCCACCCGCCCCGGGGACCCCCCGGCCCGCTGGCCCGCGAGGCGGCCCCGCCACCCGGCACCATTCCCTCTCCCGGGCGGCCGCGGCCCCGGCCCCTCCCGCGGCTCAGCGTGGGGAGGAAAACTTTGCTGGCGGCGGCGCTCGGCGTGGTGATGCTGCTGGCGCTGGTCATCCTCATCCCGGCGCTGGTGAGCTCGGCGGGCGCGGACGGGCGCTACGAGATGCTGGGCACCTGCCGCATGGTCTGCGACCCCTACCTGGGCCGGGCGGCCGCCACCGCCAGCGCCCGCCCGGAGCCCGACACCCCCGGCGGGCCCCCGCCGCCCTCCACG